TCTCCGACTCAGAATGGTACTACATAAAGAGATATATTGACATATAACGACATAGATTTTATATATATATATATATATACAAACATACACATAGTCATATACATATAGATAGATAAATACAGGCATATATATAGATATGATACATACAAACACACACACATATATATATATACATAATTAGATATATTGTCATATATATACATATACATGTGTATATACATATACATATGCATATGCATGTGTATATACATTACATATACATTACATATACATTACATATACATTACATATACATTACATATACATTACATATACATTACATATACATTACATATACATTACATATACATTACATATACATTACATATACATTACATATACATTACATATACATTACATATCCACATACATATATTTGTATATATAGATCACAGGTGGCAAGCATCCTCTGAATGATACCTGACAGAGGCGCTGTAGTGCTTGTGGCTTGACGCAATGCTTGTTATGGCCTTTGAATGGGCTGGGCGTAGTTCGTACTGCGTGTGATACGCATTGACAGCTGCGCTCTCCCCAGCCGTAGACATCAGATACTCTTCACGTTCACATTTGATCCACAGACGAAACGTCAAGCCACCTGAACGAGGAAGTGTATTGATTGATTGAGTGCATGAAAACGTCTACATACCGCATAAAGTGTAGGGCATGAACACGTTACAGTACACGAAAACACTTACATACCCCATATAGTGTAGAGCATGAACACGTTACAGTGCAGCATGGGTGGTAGTACACTAAAACGTTCAAGTGCAGCGTTTAGTGTGGTACTGAGTAATACGATGTGTTTGACCTACGCGTTCACAAGAGCAGGCACAACCATTCGAGAGAAGAGAAGTCTATGCACTCGGCTAAACGAAAACGTGGCCCAACTTTGTGGACGGAGCACGTGGGTTGCACAGTGTAGCCAGATGTGGGCACACAAGCGCACGGTTAGCGCTAAACGTTTGATAGCACTGAAACGGATAGCAAGTGCTCTAACGGCTGGTATTCAAGTAGATTCAACGCAAAGCGACAAATATACGTTCACACTACCGACAGCCCATCACGTATACGTTCACACTCTCCAATATCCAACCAGGACTATGGCCAGACCTCACTGACCTTTGGTGACGTCGGCAAAACGCCCGCCCACACGCACGTCCAGGAAGTGTGCGTCATAGGTCAACTGCTTCGACGGATTGGCATTGCCTCTGAGCGCTTTTGTTCGCCTGGTGTGGCGAGGTAGCGGATGCGTAGTATAGGTTACATGTATGTGGTAGTTTATTTATATGTATGCTATAATTTATATGTATGTTGTATTTACATACATGATATAGTTTACATGTATGGTAGAGCTTACATACATGATATAGTTTACATGTATGGTAGAGCTTACAGAATTACTATAGTTTACATATATATGTCTTAGTTTACATAAATATTATAGTTTACATATATGTTATAGGTTCAAGAAAGTTAAGCTGTTTCATAGTTTTCTGATCCGTTCGAAGTTTCCGAATACGGTTCGCGAGTGACATCGCAATTACATCGTTTTATGCCAAGACCTAAGAATAAACAAATAAAATAAAACTCTTCCAACACTCATGCGAGGACGCTTCCAGGAACCACTTTGCATGGACGTCCTATGTACAAGAGGTTAGTAAGAGGTTAGCGTATTTTAACGCACCTTGTAGACAGCTTGTCTGGTGCTGAACCAAACAGTGGCAACGCTCACAAACCAGCCCATGCCCGATCTCAAGCGCACGGCGTGACAGACAGATACGTTCACGCTCCCCTGCGGACGCAATCACCATACCAACCACTAAACGTTATCAAATCCACGTACGCAGACCGTTAGAATACAAACAAACGTTATATAACCCAAGCACGTAGACCGTTAGAATACGAACAAACGTTATCAAATCCACGCACGTAGACCATTAAAATACGAACAAACGTTATAAAACCCAAGCACGTAGACCATTAGAATACAAAAAACGTTATCAAATTCACGCACGTAGACCGTTAGAATACAAACAAACGTTGTCAAATACACGCACGTAGACCGTTAGAATACAAACAACCGTTGTCAAATACACGCACGTAGACCGTTGGAATACGAACAACAGCCTGCATACGTCTTCTGGTCAGCCTCTAGCAGTTGCTTTAGCTTGATGTTGAAGGCTGCTTTGATGTGTTGTATGGCTTGCAGATCATCCGGCCACTTACTGCTGGTCTCCATAACCAAGACTACGTCCATCGCTTCTTGGTAATAGGAGACATCTATGACAATACGAATAGTTTGATTTGATTTAGTTTAGTTTCGTTTAGTTCAGTTGTGTTGAGTGTTTGTAGTATAAGACATCTGTGACAATACAAGAAATGCAATGTCAATGTATACGATAATCCGAGGTAGCCTACGACCACATCCATAGCTAAATAAAACCACACAACAACAGCGACGCATCAAAGCTTTGAAAAGGTTAGGCCACTCTAGTTTCAAAAGAAGCGCATACACGAACATGCGTGTATGTGTGG